CAAGCCTACTTTTGAAGTCATAACTCAACAACTCCTGGTCAATTCTGACAGCTCTAGCCTTCACCAGAGCGACAGGCACCTTTGCATTGGTCCTCTACCATCTACGAGACCAACACAAAGCCCATAGCCATTGCCTTCGAAAGGATCTACTTTCCCAACCTCATCGACGAGAAGAGGTAGCTAGCTGGCTAGTACTGTTGACGACTTCAACAAAAGCACCGATTCGCTCAAAAGAAGGCCACCGGTTCTCCTGGAGTCTCCGAGAGAACACGAGACTTATTGATTTCGCACCTATCTTGGCAATCGTACAAGACGTTTACGTCCGCAGAGCAACCACCGTTTATTGCGTTGTACGTGGCTTATCTCTTCTGGATACGGGCTTATTGCCTTGCAGTCCTGCAGCGAATTACGTGCTTTATTGGTAATTTCCGAGGCTTATATCTTTGGTGATTCCACGGAACGTGCATCAGCCGTCTGTGCAGTTTACGAGTGTCACGAGTTTCCGTCCTGTACCGGATTCAGCCTTTTTAGGAACGTTAAAGAAGATCTCACGGAAGCCGATCAGCCAATCAAAACGTCCGTGCAGGATTTGAGTGTCACGCGAAATTCTGGTACTTATTGGACGTGCACTGAGTCAGTTCTCAACGTCGCCGGGAACGTACAAGAAGTTCTTCTTTGATCCCGGATTCGTTTACCGCCCGAAGACTTATACGACAACGTTCCCTGTACCGGTTCTGCGCATATACCACAACGTTCCCCGATCCGAAAGCAGGCTCAGCCTCGGTAACCTGGTTGCGCTCACATTTTAAGGTGTTTACACCGTCGAGTCATTGAATCGACATACGGATCGCGATTTCGTGATTTTCCTACCGATTCGAGTAACTCCAGGAACACGGAGGGACGAACGAAGACGTTCGAGGCAACAGGCGTATCACCACTGGAACCGCCATCCTTTATTTAGTCGGTGGGTACCATCACCTTGGATTTTGGGAGCTTTTGTGGGGAGATTCATTGGTCCCAGTAAGCTAGCTTCCAGTGTGGCAAAATCACCACAAACCAAGGCAGTTACCAGCACCAAGGCAACACAGGAATCAGGTCCCAGCCCTTGTACTTGGTCCACCTTATTCCAACAGGCATAGATTGAATTTCCAAGACCCCTACCAAGGTCCCAGGAAGTCTCCTTTGTGTTTTCCCAGCTACAGTTGAGTCACCCTTTATTGTCCTACTACAAGAACCCAACAGCAGTGTTTCCCAAGCACAACTGGTACACCTCTTCCTTGGCAGAAAGAAAGCAACCATGTCACTCTACATACCCACAGTGACTCCTCCACCATCACGGAAGGCCTTGAAGGCTAGAGAACCAAGGAAACAGGCTAGCCCAAGAACAACTAGCCACACTTCCCCTACAACCCGGGAGGATACGGTTCAGGCCATCATGAAGAGTCTGGATGAGCAGCACACCTCTATCCAAGCCCTTGGCACTACCCTTGATAGTCTCATTGAAGAGCGACAGTGGTGCATTCGTCAGCTGCTTGACAAGTCCCTTAGTCGAAACCTCGAGAAGATCAACGGAAAAGCAGCTGCCCTCAGGCAGAAAGCAGCCGCATCCAGGAGGCACAACCGGTACCACGCATCTCCCAAGCGCGATTGTGGGGAGTTGCCTGCCACTAGTGCCACGACCACGCAGCGGCGACTGGCAGAGGCCCTCTTTGCTTCCAACAACAACAGCAATGTAGCCACAGCGCTACCTACCGGTATTGGCGCCAGTCCTGAGGACTCACAGCATCCAGCTCCCAAACCAGACTGCTGTGGGAAGCTACCTGTCACGTCCTCTTTGGTCGGTGACACAACCAACCACCAGTCATCTTCCAAGCCAGCTTGTGGGGAGTCGCCAGCCACTCGTGCTTTGCGAGTCACAGCGACCAACAACCAGCTGCCCAATGCCACTCCCTTGGTTGCTCCAGTGCAACCATTTGCCCTAGCTGGTGCTCCCAATGCATCACTGGGTGATGGGGAGATTACAGAGCTGCCTACCTCCAGCTCCAGCAGTCACCCAGCTTCTACATTGGCTTATGGGGAGGCCAGTACTGTAGCCCACAGCAACAGTGATTCTAGCAGGACGATTCCACCATCCAAGGAAGTCCCGCCTGTAATCGATACAACGGTTGTCCCTTCCAAGCAGGACCGCACGTCCTTTGGTAGACCCACGACAACCAACCCATGGTTGGAGCACCCAACGTTTGGCCCATCGAGGCGACAAACAAGGCAACCAACGCGGTTATAGCAGAGCCACCACCTCTTTGGTACTACCCAGTGCCACCGGCTCTGTGCCAAGAGAGATCCCTTTGCAAGCAAGTGCACACCCAAAGCAGGATGCTTTCAAGCAAACAGCTTCCAGGGCAGGTGCAACAATCAACCTTGGCTGAGATCCAAGTGTCCACCATGTCGAACGACACCAAGGATTCCCAGCTTGGTCCATCCCGGACCACCTCTCGTTGGTACTCCAGTGCCACTAGGCTTGTGCCAAATGAAAGGATCCCTATGGCAGCAATGCCACCCAGTCGACCATCCCTTTGTCGACAACCAACACCACTGTCTGACAGCAGCAACTGATGCCACACCACAGGATGAGTCCAAGGTCGAACCACCATGGTCTCATTCTCCCATGTCTCCAAGGAAATGGGGAGTTCACCAGTGTTGGCATGTGGTTCCATCAGTTGTTTGCTTCCTGATGGCCCATAGGATTGGAGCTCTCCAGTCTGTGCTGCTAGCACCGTCCCTCGGATTTTTGGACGGGACACTAGACTACGTCCCTGTCTGGTACAGCCCATCCATGCCTCCGTCAAGGGACATGATTGCGGGGCAAGAAGGCCGCTCCACTGAGAGGCTTGCCACCGCTGAATTCGGCCTGTGGCAAAGCCACGAATTTGTCTACATATGAAGAAAACAAACAACAGCTATATAGCAACCAGCACCGCGACACCTTCTAAGTCTGCAATGCTGATGGACCAGGCACTACTGCCTACCTTTGGTGAGTCCTGACAACCATACATGTCCCTCCACTTGTGAGATCCAGACCTCACATTGTGTTCACTAGCAGTCGATGCTGATTGGCCCATGGATGTTCCATTCTGGGGAGAGTTGTAGATAGTTAGTTAGTAGCTAATCGTATAATGTGGCATGCCCATGAGAGCGGATCCATTCGCACTCGTGGGGAGCGATAAATTTTAGGAGCGAGAGCTCTGGATCCGTCAGAGATAGCTCCAACAGCTATGCTGGCCTACAGCTCCAGCCACCACAGCTGGCTTATCTCCAGCCAAGCAGCAAGAAAGGATCGCCTTTCCATCATAGTTAAGAAAATAGTACGAAAGATTGAGACCGATCCTGATTAGCTTGTAGCCCCTTTGATACCGCAGCAGTTGATACAATCCTGTTGAGGCCGGGCAGAAGCAGTAGGAGGTAGCAGATAGTACTGTTCCCAGACTGCCACTGCACGATTGAATAACGAAGGCTACCAGCTCCTGAGGAGAGCTGGCCCAAAGGGTCCAGCAGAGAGCTCTGCTGGCCCTCCTGTCTGACTGACAGGGCCAAGTCCTTGGTTTGGTGTCTACTGGAGGTGTTGGAATACTCCTGAGGCACGACAAGGCTCCCTGAACTGCCTGACTACCGCTGTCCCTGAGGAAGGGTTTCAGCGAGACCCAGTCCACTACTTGAGTATTGGAACAGAACCTCCAAGAAACTTATTGGATTAACAGTCGCATAGATTTGCAGGCAGTTCTTAAGGGAAGAAGAGACCTCCTTGACGAGAAAAGGATCTCTTCGAAATACAACAATCAGTGCTACAGCTACAGTTGGATTCATTGGATTTCATTGGCATTTTGGTGTTGATTTCAAGCCTACTTTTGAAGTCATAACTCAACAACTCCTGGTCAATTCTGACAGCTCTAGCCTTCACCAGAGCGACAGGCACCTTTGCATTGGTCCTCTACCATCTACGAGACCAACACAAAGCGTGATGTTGCCGTGCTTGGCTGTTGCTTTCGCATCTAAACTTGACTTTTGCTGAATTTGAATCAAAATGTGAGCTTAGTTTTGCACACATCAACTATGAAGAAAAGTGTACAACCCCACAATCTACCACAATCTACCACAATCTACCAAGTCTACGTCATCCGAGCCCTGGACGACAGTGCTTGTACGTCCTGAGCCAGAAAAGAAGGGGGAAAACTGATCTGAAAGAGCAACATTGAAGACCCCTAACGACATTGCCGCCTCGTGCACTTGACCTCACAAAACTGATCCTTCTCTCCCCATTTTCCACAGGACGCCGTGTGCTTTGCGTGATGTGCTCTTGATCGTCCTTGTGTTTGATTCATCATTCGATTCAATTATTTCAAAGATGGATGACGAATGGGAATCATTGGTTGATGATCAAGACCCGAAAGAGCCGGACGACGATGAGGAACCATCCGAGCCGGTGGCACCCGCCCCCAGTGCTCGAATCACAGCTCAAATGACACCTGCGAATGCTGCTTTCCTTTCCATTCTTCAACAAGTTCTGGTTGTTGCTCAAGCAAGTGTGAAGAAAAGTGAAGTGTTGGTCGAACGAACCCAGAGGAATGGCCAAAAAGCGCGCGATGATTTGAAGGACGCATTTGAGAGGTATCTTCAAGCAATCGACGAAACGACGACGAAGGAGCTTGAAATGGTGAAAGCACACCGGGATCTTGCGCGAGACCTTTTGACTCTCCTTGCGAAAGCGGTAACAACTGCGAAGGAGCTTGAAATCAAAGAAGGGCGCCCCACAGCTCAGGATTGGTATTATCGCCAACTGGAGGAATCCCAGGTGGAACTAGTGACCTCGGAAGCAACGATTGCCGACGCTAAAGCAAGCAGCAAAGAGCGACTTCATGGACTGTTTGTTGCCTACAACGATCTCGTTGAAGCAGTCAAAGTAGCCAACAAGGACAACACTACACTTGTCATGAAGTATACGGCGTTGGTGAACCACATATCGGCTCTCCTTGAAAAGGCGACCGATGGCAAGCTCCTTATCGACGAGGATCGGGTTGCTCGCGAACTGGAAGAAACCAAGATGGCGGCGGACAAAGCGGCAACGTTGCTGGAAGCAACAGAGAAAAGCAACCAAGAGAGACTTGATGGACTGCTTACCGCTTTCAACGATCTCGTTGACTCAGTCAAAGCAACAAACAAGGACGAATTGAAATGAAGCAAAAATCCTTGGTGGCCCTCCTTGAAAAGGCGGATGATGGCAAGCTGATTGTAGACGAGGACGGTAGTACAATGTTAGTTTCTCCTTCTTCGTCCTCCGCATCCTTTATTAACTTATTAATTACACTTTCCCCGAAGGGATTATGTTCTACGTTTAGATTTGAAAACGGTATATGCAAGCCTCTTGCTAGGGCTTGCCTTTAACCGTTTGTGGGTATAGAAAAGGATATATGAGATGCATCTTGACATGGAAGTGTTTGTGTTTTCTGTGGGTGCGATATGGCGCCCTTTTTTTGTTGTTTGTAGTGTTGTTGGTTCAGTTAGCTGGTGACCTCTAATGATCCAGTTTTCCATCAGGTTACGTTCGTAGTTCTGATCATTGCGAGGTTGGACTTGTCTGCCGCCGCTGCAGACCGGCGTTCTCCACACTAGCTAGCCTTGTTGTTTGTTTGTAGTTGTCTGCTCCATAATGAGTCGAGGCCATGTCGGAATAGGGTCTGTCTTCCGGGCGCAGGCTAGCGGCGCCTAGAGACCATTGGAACCTTATTTCTTCTTTGAGGGTAGTTCGGGAGGTGTGGGTCGAAGGCTGGATGTGGGTATTGTGTTTGATATGATTGCGGTGGTCCACATGTCCCAGGAAATATCAAGAAGTTTTCGTATGACTGCGGTGGTCCAGCGGAAACCATTGCGGCGATTGCCTAGGGATTTGTAGTGGGCTTCTTGCAATTGGGTGAACCGGTGGCTGATGCGTCCGAGCAATAGGTTGTACCATCCTATCTCAGTCTGTTCGCGAGTGCAGCTCTGACTCGGCACGAGAGGTCCCAGGCGTGGAGGGCTCCTCTTTCCCCAAGCCCGGAGATGTTCTATGATGCCGTACCGAAGTGATTGATTGGTGCCAAGTTTGCGAAGGTGCTTGTCTAAGGAGACCAATGCCTCAGCCAGGTAAGTCGTGCACCCCGGCTAGGACACAGCAGAACATGCTTAGGGGTTTCATCATCTTGGGCACAACGTGGGCAGCGGGAGTGGTCCAAATCTTCCGAGTGTGCATTGATCGTCCGACTCCACAGAACCAGTGGTGTGTTTGGTTAGCCAGCGTCGTTTTCCTTGGGCATGCGTCTGAGGGCCTGGTTCGATGCTTCCAGTTGATTTTCCTGAGGTTCTTGTGTGGCAAAGCAAGCTTGCGGGCCAAGTAAGGTCTGACTATGGTGCGTACATACGCTCGTAGAGGTTGGTTTTGTCCAAGTAGGACAGGGGTTGAGCCTCCATGAGAGCTGCCAGCTTTGCCCCCCGATGTGTTGGAGGTTTGGCTCCCGATCCCAGGTGCTCTCAGGAAACTCTTCGCTTCTCGGTCGACCACGATGTTCTGTTGTTCCCACCAGGTGAGTTGGTGTGGTTTCTTTTTGGCATCGGCATGTCCAGCCACGTAGGAAAGTGTGACTTTAATTCCTGCTTCCTTGAGCTGTTGTCTTCGTCCTCCGCATCCAATTGTGTCTTCGTTGGTCCTCACACCTTGCATTCTTTTCTATCACAGAGAGAGAGACTTGTTCCCGACCGGCAAAGAAAACGTAGCCGTGCTTGAAACTGAGTCCGAAGATAAGGTCGAAGAAGCGAAGAAGCCAAGGACTAAGGCAAAGCCCTGCAACAAACAGACGAAGCCCACTTCCTTCGAAGCGATTGGATCGGTCACGGAGCCGCTTCGTCGGTCTTCTCGGCGCACGAAGAAAACTATCCACTCCCACTATGACTGTCAAAACCGGAAACGACTCGACTCTCTCTGGGATGAGCGTTCCCTCTGAGGACAAACTACATTTTGAATCGAATCGTACCGGCACATGTACGAGACTTTCAAGTCAACTAATCGAATCGAATCGAATCTAGTAAGAACTAGTAAGTAGCTGAAGAGAGGGTAGGACTATGCATAGGAGTATCCGTTTGGGAAGCAGATGACTGAGGTTGAGAAGTTATCAAAATCAGAGACTAGCTGCAAAACTGGATTGAAATTTGGACCCGACCAACCTTTTCAAGCGCCGCTCTGTAGCTAGTAGTCAGCGACAGGCTATGAGTAAAGGCAAGCTCCTGCAAAGAATTATGTCCTAGCTAGTACCGGTACGCCCAGTGTGGTAGTTTCAATGAGTATTCCTGCTACTAGCGACTTCACTATTTGGGGTTACCGAACGTGAAGCAATGATGTCGCTACATGTACCGGTGAAGTGCCAAAGACGCGTAGTAGGCAACGACGGCACGGCAGCGCCGCAGGATTCGCGTCTCGAGGTACCGTAAAGACTACTACTAATGACAGAGGCTCTCGAACCATGGCGAGCTGATTGGTACCGTAGACGGGAAGTCTTAGGCTGTCACATCAACCGAGATGGAGAGCTGATGGAGACACTCCGTGGAATCGACAGTCACGAAGAAATTACAACGAGGTACACAGCAAAGCATGCAGCACTCGAAGGTGGTCAGCGTAGTGTCACATAGTTTCAGCGGCTCTTCAGCAGAGCAACGCGGCTTGTACCATGGTTCGTCTACTTTCCCGTACCGTGTGGTGATAGTACGATGCCTTGAACTACACTCTTCCCTTGATACAAGCCTTCACATCAGGGTGGAGTTCTGGTGCCAAGTGCTTTTTATCCAGGATAAAATTTTCATCCCACGGTTAAAATTTTCATCCGTGCTGAGGGATTTGAGGGTTGAAAATTGAAAAGCCTGATCCTTTAACAACCTATGGAGAGCCGCTGGCGCACAAAATGCAACGACTTGGTTTGGCCGACTCGCCCACTCAAACTCCACAATTCTCCCTTGAATGGACTTCATTTTTTTCAAGCTGAGCTGTTGCCGCTGGTTTTTGCTGTTTGTCTTCCTTCTTTTTGCAACCCTATCAAGATGGAGAAATCTTTCTCCGATCAGCATGTTGCGATACCTGGCATGGACTTTGGCCACAACTATGAAAGTCGCCTCAGTAGAGGCCATCACAAATCAATGTATAGTGCGCCAAAGGAATTCTTACACGCCGTGTATTGTTCAATGGTAATGAAGTACGAATCTCAACTCCAAACAGGAAAAACATCTGCCGATGCAGTGGAGTTTTCTCTTGGCGTCTTTGATGAAAACGAGAAGTACATTTTGCACTCTATGAATGCCAACCCTGAGGATTCCAAGACAATTCGCGAATCTTTTCGAAAGAAGATTCCATTGTTCACATATTTCCTTGACAAAGACAACGAACAACTTCTCTTCCGAAGCGAGCAAGGTGTCGTTCTCCTCGAAAAGAAAACTCAATGCATCATACCCATTCGAGAGAAGATCCCCGAGTATGTTGAGCAGTACAAGCTTTCGATCCGAGAAGAGCTTGCAAGCAAGCAGAAGCCAGGGAGCCTCGCAACCCAGAAGAAAGTCCTTAGGGAACTGGCCCGGCATATCAACGAAAAAGGTGTCAAATTCAAGGCAGAGCATGTCTTGTTTCCCGTTCTCATGAATGAGGAATATGTCTTCAATGAAGGACACCTTCACGCCCTTCCTCGCGACAACGAAGAACCGGAAGACCCGGAAGAACCGCCCGAGCCAGTAGTGCTCCCGGAAGAGAGGCCCCGAGCTCGTATCCCACAAGCGGAAGATGGTTCACCACCGGGTTCACCAGATGAGAATACCGACTTTGAAGAGCAGGCGCTAGCTCAAGCTCGCCGCGGAACAGGCGCTGTCGAACGGGCTGTTACCGACATGAATCGGGCTACTGAAAACATGGCGAACATGTTGGGCAACGTCACCGCGGCCGTCGCAAAGAGTAACACGGAGACGAGTCAAAACAACGCTACCTTGCTGGCAACTGCCAAATTGGCTGTGGAGGGAACCTGCGCCACCAACAGTAGAATGGTGACCGTGCTAGAGAAGCTGCAGCAACAACAGCAGGAACTTCTAAATGTAATGGCTGCACGACGTAACGCTGTGTGAGTGTCCTTCCAACTGGTCCTCCGTTTTCGCGATGCTTGATTGTGTCTCACATTCTCTTTTCATTGCCTACAGTGCTGCAGCGCCACGATCGAATCGCACGTCGCGTGAATTGTTCCCGGCCGGAAAAGAAAACTCGGCCGTGCTTGGATCGGAGTCCGAGGACGATGACTCCAAAAAGCCCAGGGCCAAGGCGACGCCCGTCAAGACGTCGAAGTTCGCAGCAGCTGGCAAAGCCAGCGGAAAGCAGGCGAAAAGTACGATGTTCTTCAACCAGAATGGCAAAGGTAAGAAATGCTGTGACACGAATTTTGCTACTCAAACTTGTAGTGGTGCGTCTCTAACCTCGTTGCCTTTCGTTAGAGGGCGACGGGAACGCTCACGCAAACACCAAGCAGTTTCAAACGCCAGCTCGCAAGACCCGAGGATCGGCCAAGACTCCTGCAACGGAGCCGGTTCGTCGCTCTACTCGGCGCACGAAACACAATATTGACGACAGTTGCCACTACTACTAGGTGGCTGGAAACGACTGAGACTCACACTCTCTCTGGGATGAGGGTGCCAACTGAAAACAAGCTGTTGCATGTCTCAAGTCAACTGTAGCTGAATCAAGCTGGATCCGGAGACGCGGCAATCTACCGCTATCATAAAATGACATCACATGAAACAAATGAGACGCACACAATCTAAAAGAACGATCACACTAATCCAAAGGAAATAAATCTGCCGGTATCATGAAATGACGTGAACGAAAAGAAAGAGACATCATACAATCTAAAAGGAACGATCATACTTTACTAATCCATAGGAAACAATCCCATAATCACAGCAATAGCTTAGCAGACGCGAAGCAAAGGCATCCCTTTTAAAAGGCGATATCCTCTCCAATCTACCGGTACGCTTTCAAAGGCGCGGCTTTTCTTTCTCTCCTCGAGCAACAGAACAATGGCTTACCGGCCGGCCGGATTCAAAGCAACGACGATACATCATGGCCGCTCGTGTTGACCAAAGGAACTTTAGCAAAAAGGGCATCCAGCTTCTCCCAATCCAATCCACCATCAGGTACAGAAACATGAAAACGCGAGGCCCCACGGAAGTAAAGCAACCCGAATAAATCATCGTCGCTCGTGTTGGCCAAATAAACTTTAGCAAGAAGGCATCCAGCTTCTTCAATCCACCAGGCCCTGAAACGTAAAAAGGCGAGGCCCTGGCACTACCGGTAGGTACGCATGAACAGCCTCTGGGGGATTGCCCCTGGCTGTACCTGTACGTATCGGACATCCAATTCCCGCCCTGAGCTCCGATCTCCCTCGTGAGCATCAGCTTATCCTCTTGCGTGGTACCGTACATGTACCTTTCAAGAGAGATGGATGCCGGTAAGGATGTCCAAGAGACGTAGCAGCACCGACTGACATCTTCACGGGGCGGCTGACACACAAAATGTGTACCAGGTACTGAGTATTCAGGTAGCCTCCATATCCTGCTGGTGGATCCGGAATAAGGAACGTCGTGTACAGCCGTATTTGCTCGATTCAGGACCCTCTCAGAATGAGAACTTATCAGATCATTTCGCATTGTTCCCAGCGAATCTCAGCCAATCTTCGCTTCATTCGAGCCAGCCGCACATGTACGGTACCGGTACCGGTAGGCAAAAGCATCTCTCTCAGCTCTCGTTAGGATAGGCGCACATGGCGTTCCTGAATTCGGAAGTTCTCGTTCGGTGGGCAGCTTGGTGGTCAGAAAAGAGAGCTTTCACTTTTTGTAGTGGAAAGGGACAGGGCTGGGGGATTAGAAAACGAAATAGAGAACTGGAGCACTGGGAGAGACTCGGTGAGTGTGATGGCGGCTTTGGTGTGCGATTGATTCTCACTTTCTTCAGCTCTTTCTTCCAACGGCTCGTCTTCCGGTTATCTATCGTATGCATAGCTATGTACATGTAGCTAGAGCAGCTTCGGAGCTCTCAATCAATGCGAACTCCTCGAGTTTTTCTGGGAGACTTCAAGCAAGTACTGTAACAAGTAACCACCACCCGCACTACAGATTGCACAGTCTTTTCATCACAACAAAATAAAATATGTGCTGTAATGTTCCGGTAATGGTAATGTTAGGTGGTCTGAAGACGTAACTGGGACCTTCAGAGTACCGACTTTTCACAGTGGGGATGCCCTGTATGTAACAATCATCTGCACGGACAGCTTCGGCCCCTACTCATTAATTGTTTTAGGAAACCTTTCACTTAACAAAACAACTGAAATGAGACCACCTTGAAGCAGCTCTTGAAGCACAGAAGACTGGTGCAAGGAGCTTGAGGCAAGAAAGAAAGAATGGAAATGCTTATTAAAGCTTGCTGTACCTGGCTAGCTGGAGGAAGTATTCAGGGCGTGGTACTCACACTGTTTTAGCATGTGAGTATGGGTACTGAGTAGTACTCACAATTCCAAAGTCAAGTGAGTATGGGTACTGAGTAATACTCACAATTCCCAGGGTCAAGTGGGTACGGGTATCATGTGAGTACAGGTACTTTGTGGGTACTATAGACTACTCACTGAGTACTCATAAATCAATTACTTAGGGAAATTATTTTGTTTTTTCTAGTTCTGGCTGGGGCTCATCAATCTTGTTGTAAAGGTCCAACCATGGCATCAATATCACTGTCATAATCTCTCCTCTTCACATCTGCTGGCAGTTAGCTTGAGGGAGAGCCTTTGTCCTATTCTTAGCACATTCCTTTCTTGCATCATTGAGGCATTGCTTGTAGTTCTGGATTAATGCACGGTTCTTGTAGCAAAGAAGGCGCATTTGGAATGTTATGTCAACCTTCTGTCCATTCTGAGTTTCCATTCAAACCATTTCACAAGACTGAAAACCTTTCTTGGTACAGCCGTTGCTATTGGCATTGCAAAGTGCGCACAGCATTTTCATAAATGATTGGGTGGTTGGTTTGCCCTTGTCTCCCACCATTTCTTTTAAGTCAAAGTAGATTTTAACCACTTCAATGTTGTCCAACCATCAATGTTCTTCATTGCCAAGTGTAGAGAACATCTTTACCGATAGGCTTCCGCTTCTGAGCCCGAAGAGCATCAAACAAGTTGAAGTCTTCGCCTAACCATTTGTCGATTGCTTTCTGGATTGGGTCAACTCCTTCTTCCACAGGAGTATCCTCGATTATCCTTCGTTTGGCTTCCCTGGCCAATGCAAGAGGGTCGTTGGTTCGTGGCTTGGCCTGTGGTTTCTTCGGACTTGCATTTTCAGTCGCTTGTTCGGCTAGGTCGAATTTGTTTCCCCACATCTGCTTGACCCAGATCGTCAATATCGTCGTGGCTCTCTCCCGAACACCTTTGCCCATCATTTTGTTTGCCGGGAGGGTATCAGAACCATCGACAACAGTAGCCAGTGTTTCAAAGTCGTCAAGCATGTGTGTCTTACCGAAAGGATTACAAATAATGGCGAGGAGTTTGTCATCCTGCTTAGAGCTTGAAACACAAGCACCATAGCTTCGCAACTCACTTGGGATTCGCTGGTATAGTTTCTGTGGAATCTTATGGAGTTTCGCGACTTTGATTTTCCTCAAACCAATCCTCTCAGTAGTCGAGGGAAGGTAGGTTCCCTCATCGTCTTCAAGTGGATCCTCCCATTTTGCCGGAGAACCATCGAACTTGGTTGGGTAGTAACTTGCTGTGCCATTCCACTTTTCAGTGTCATTTGTAGCTTTGCTTCGGCGAGTCTCTGGCACCCAAACCACATTGGAGTAACAATAAGAAGCAAACAAACGGTATGTCCCATAGGCAGTAAAGGAATTGGCACCATAGTGGCCCGACTGGACAAAGCAAAAAAGCTTCAACATGGGGAATTCCACCGCAAGGGTTTGTGCCATGACATTGTACTTAGAATCCTCCACATCCGGACATGTATCGTCAACAATGCAATAGTGGTGAAGGTTCCACCGAGATTGGATAAACGAAGCGTATAACAAAGCTTCTCCTCCGGCCCTTGTATGGTTGGACATGCAAAAGGCCCTGTGTATCCGGCCAGCAGCAGAGGGTGTGTCCGTGAACTTCTTCCATCCCCCCTTCGATTTCTTGTTGGCCAACCACTTTGCGGTTTCCTCGGCTTGTTTTCGAATAGCATGACAAGCATCAAACTTCTGTTCAAAGCCACTACCTTGGTCCCTGTAGCGTTTCCTTTGGACGGTGGCATGCGAAAAAGCCAAATGAATCTCATGCATGGCACAGTAGACATTTTCTCCACTCAGGTTGCGGCCCACCAATAGCGCCGTGTTGGTAGTGTCATTCATTGCCTTGTAGATCATTCGGTCATCAATACCAAAAGCTTTGATAATATCCATGATCTGATTCGTGTTGGGCTCTCCCTTCTTGTCTTTAGATTCCGCCAGTTCAACGGGAATTCTTAGATAGACACACCTTTTGGGGTTGTAAAAGAAGAACGTCACTCCAAGTATTTCATTCTTGTTAGAGTCCCAAACTTCATGAGCGACAGTAAGGAAAGACTTATGACAACCAAAGGTTTTCATATAGTACTGGTCCGTCTCTCCTAGATGCATTACAACCGCAGCCATGAAAGTTTGGTATTCCTACTTTGGGGGGGCCTTTTTTTTTTTCTTTTTGTAAGGGTTTTTTGTATGGGGGGCCCATGCTCCATCAAGCCTGTTGACATTTCATAAGAGCGGCTCCATTCTGCATGGCATAGATCATAATGTCTCTGAATTCAGGACATGCTTTGTGGTCCGTCAAAACACGAAGAGGAATGTTGTTGTTTGTAGCATACCGATGCTGTTTTTCTTGAAATATTGCAAGAGCCTGGCTTTTTCCAGCCTCTCTACTCATTTCATGAACCATAGACCTTGGCTCGGAAAGGGTACTATGACTGATTGTGCTGGAATGTTGTTGCGGTACTTCCTGGGGAACAGGAGGAGCTGCCATTGGACCTACAGCAACAGCCGCCACCGATCGATTGGCAAATGCGTCGTAACGGAATGCACCTCTTTCCTTTGTGATTGCTTGATACATTGGTAAGTGTTGTCCTCGAAGGTGTTTGCCAGGATTGCCAGTGCCATCGAATCCACCTGATCCACATTTCTTGTAGGTTGGCCGGAATAGACATTTGGAAAGTGACTTGCTGGTATCCTCGAGGCATGCACGACACGCCACATATTGCTTCCCCGAAAGAATTCCTTGATGGATCTTTTGGTAGGCCGAATCATCCAAAGGTTGGAGGTTTTCCAAGTGTTCGGCGTCGGGAATGTCGACACTGTAGTAACATTCCCAAACGCCAGAACGGCCGGGTGGCTTGCGACTGAGCGTGGGAATACTCTTGGCTTGCACGTACTGTGCCAGTCAAATCAGTTCCATTGCCGCGGCCATGGTATCATCGGCAGCTGCAGCTTCTTCTCTTCTTCTTCTTTTCTTCGATATCACCTTCTTATTCTTGTTCCGGTTCTTCCAATCAATCGGCTCCATTGACAGCTTCCTCAATCGCTGCCTGTGACAAGATGTCATCATCCTCCACATCAGCCATGGTGACAACAGAAGAGACAACAGAACAAAAGAGTGGCTAGCTAGAGTCAACAGTGGCTCAACAGTGGCTTCAAAGCTTCAATGAACAAGCTCAATGTGAGAAAATGGGAAATTTATGGGGCTGCGAGTTGGCGAAATACTCACAAAATACTCACCGAGTACTCACCGAGTACTCACTGGTACTCACTTCGAAGTACTCACCGAAGTACTCACCGAAGACTCAAAAAGTACTCAGATTCCGGAGTCATGTGAGTACGGGTATTGAGTATTACTCACATTTTCGAGGGTCAAGTGAGTATGGGTATCGAGTATACTCAGTACTCAATACCCGTACTCACATCGTGTACCCACAGCGTGTATTTCATGTGAGTCCCACACCCTGGATAGTATTTCCCTTGTAACTCCATGAACCAGGCTCTGAAGGATTGATCATTCACAAGATGCCCTCTAGCTAGAGCTACATTAGATACTCCCAGCTAGCTAGATTCAGTGTTGGGCAACTTGGTCAGGGCACCTCAACACAGAGTCGCCAGCAAGCAAAAGCTCCTTTAGGTTGGTGCCCAGTGCAAACACATTTACCGATACCGGTACCTTATTCCATTTCTTAGATACTGTGCGTTTGGTTTATTTATATCATCGACGTTGGCCGAGGTACCACTGGGTGTAACTTGGCATCTCTACGGTAGATACTTTAGCTACCGGTTAGCGTACCGCTTGTTGCTTTAGTTAGGGTGGCTTGCCAGTGGTTGCAAAGGTGCACGTGGACTCATCTTTCACTCCCACCGAGGGAAACAGGGGACGTCCCCAACTCCATGCTGAAACATTGAGCTTTTGTTTACCGGTGAAATAATTTGATAGTAACTGTTTGAGTCTGGATGGCCTGTTTGGGACAGCAGGACTAACAAATTCCTGCTGGCTTTGGCTTCGGATTTCAGTTGCAGCACTTCACGAGTTGATTATTCAGTGAGAAGGAGTAAAATACTAAAACATCGCAATATATTTTGCCTCTTCTTCGTGAGTGATTTGCAATTGACACGTCAGGCAACGTTGCGAACCGAACCCAAATTATTTCCACTTCTTATTTGCGACCCATCAAAAGCAACCGCGATGTCGTTGAGGGGAATGCACGTTCTAACTAAGGCTGTTATTCGTCACTAAAACACTAGAGGCTTTTCATCGTTGACTGGAAATGGTCTTATAACCACGATGGACAATCTAAGGAAAGTCTAGGCTCTAAAAGGAAAGAGAGTGTTATGAAAGAAGGCAGAGTATGCAGCTTTCCGAAGCCGGAGTTTTCCTTTGAGAGAGGGGCACTTGAATTCAACTTCCCGACCACCACCACCTTCCCAGTCAACTGTTCGGATTGAGGCCGAAGGGTGGAAAGAACCCAAAACAAAAAAGCTCTCACAATTCATCAAGATAGCAAAAGCAAACAGTCGACGCACAAACAAGGAATACATTCATCATGGTGATCGACATGGTATACACTCCCATGAACGTGGTTGAGCTAAACAGTCTGGCCGTGCTTCAGATGCGCCAACAACAGTTTGGTCAAGCCCTCAGCACTCTTCAAACAGCCGTCGTGGTGCTCGAGGAGATCTATCGCACCAACATGATCGGGTGCCATCAGCCCAACAAGAAACGTCGTCGTCTTTCTTCAGATGAATCGGTGTCCAGTGACACAGAGGATGATGCTGTTGGGGTTGTTCAAAGTGTGCAAGTGTTGGACGAAAAGGCCCAAGCAAAGTTGGTTTCCAACTCGGCAGTTCCCAATGACGACGTCTTGCTCTTTTATGATCGCGCCTTTACCTTTCAGAACTTCCAAAACATTGACTTTGAACTTTCTGAAAACAAGTCCAGCCTCTCTGGTATGATTCTGTTCAACCTCGGATTGGTGCAACACATCCTCGCCATCAAATCTGGTAGCTCTTCCCACATGTTCCAAGCTTTGCGCTTCTACCGACTGGCGCACGTGTCATTGGAGCAAGTGAAAGATGTTGTCTCGATGGAAGTTCACATCCTCCTCCTGATGGGACTTATCAACAACATGGGTCACATTCACGCCTGCCTCTTTCATCGAGAACAGACCCAAAGTTGTATCGAATGGCTTCGCAGGGGTAACTTCCTCTACCCTTAATATAAGACCAACCAAGAGACGTTGAACCATGATCGAAGTTCATTGACATTGTGGTCTGATGCGCAATGTCCATCGCGTACGTGCGAGTGAAATGTAAGTCCTATGGCACGAACATACCTATGATCCTTTCTTTAGTTTTATCGCAAGTATCATGACCAATCTTGGGTTCTGCGAACGCATGAAATCCTCCGAAGACTTTGACTTCAAGGCGAAGGCTATTCAATGCTATAGCTAAGTTACGAAAAGGAGAGAGTGCTCATGAATATATCATGCATAAGAAGACAGTATACCTTGTATAACAAGAATAGACCCTGTTATATGCCACACTGTTATGTTTCAGACTGGTTCCAAAGACCTGTTTGAGGACACAAGTGACTTCCGAGTATAACATAGTTACTACAGGCAACAACGACCCACTCTTCCGATCACTATAGAGCAAGAGCTGAGCAATGTGCAGACACGAATAGAGAGTGCAGGACTAGAACCGAGCCGAGTCAGCCAGGTCATTACTATGCATAGAACTAGCTACACTGACTGTGTGGAAGAAAGCTCTGAACGAAACTCGCATAGTACGTGACAACGATCCGTCTGACAAAATCTCCTTCCTAGCTAACTATAGCCAGTCGAATAGACGATAGAACAAGCATTATCGGAAGAACGAGAAGTTTCCGACGGCACGCTAAAACGCATATGCCTCCGGTCTACACACAATTTAGAGCGTGGAACAATTCTGCGTCTTGTACCTCACAACTTACGACAGTGAATGGTTTAGCTAAGTTCCAATCTCTTCTGCCTCCAGGAGTCACAAGCGGGCTGTGACTAAGAAGAGAGAGAGAAGACTGAACAAGAGGATTGAGATACTAAAAGCAGAAATCATGTTGGCTGATATCATAGAGAGTGAGGAATCTTGAGCATTACCTGACCTGTCCGTCTGACATGTCAAGCTTGTGATCGATTACTTAAGCAGAAACATGTTTGCAATTACTAACACTTGCTACAGTCAGTCAGGTTTACTTCTGCAATCTGAGAAGGAGTACCGGTAATTGGGTAGGTGGTGTATAGCTACACGAGTAGCTAGCTGTTAGTCAAGTAGTACGATACCAGTCGGCACACCGACATGACTATGGTTTTGGATACGATAACCGCAAGAAGAAAAGCGAATGCAACCATGTTGCCAAGCGCAAGTCTGACAACTCCGACACAGAGGACGACTCCTCTGATGGATCCATCAAAATGATGGACAAGAAGATGGCTGCTGTAGACAAGGCGCTTGCCGATTCGACTTCAATCGTTCGGACGGAGAGATCTCCGTCTGAGGATTAGGCCAGGTTGATTACTCAACGGAACCATTTTCCGAATTTTCTTCATACCTAAGTTGGATTCGGGGGAAAAAAAGGGGGGGATAAATTTTTTTTCTTTTCACTAAAATAGTAAACAAGATTTGTTTGCAACTAACGGAGTCTACGGCAAATTAGATAATTGCCAAGCAACTACTCAACTAGACGCTTACGATCTGTTCAGCATCGTTAGCTTTGTCCATGGCCAATCAAATAATCAACGTAGCACGACAAGAGACCTCGAAACTATCGTCTATGTTAGATTTAACAGACGAGAGAAAAGGAAACGAAAACCCGTTACACTCTGTTGCTTACTGGATAACGGAGCATCCGGAACTTTAATTACTCAAACTCATGCTAAGAATTTACTCAGGAAGAATCATGGGCATCCAAACATTACGGACTGCTCCTATGAAGAAATCGAAACCCCCCCACGAAGTGTAAGGGCACACTCGTGTTTCCTGAGTTCCACGATGATAGAATTATCGGATGGAATTTACAAGTCACAAAGACATTGGGGGCGCAAGACGTGAACATAGGTCATGACACTCTCTGCGACCTAAGAATCAAGTTTGATTTTCACTACCATGTCATTGGGGTTGAACCGCGCATTCTTCCCTGCGAAATATGGCAATAACAATAAAAGGGAGAACTTCTCCATTCCCGATCCTGTAACTGTCAGCGACACTGCATACAGTCTCAAGAAGATTCTTGATTCGAAATACGAACAAACTGACCTAAGGCAGATGTGCCAGAGTCGAAACCCGTTAAATAAGGAAGAGCAAAAACTGCCCCATGCCTTTTCAACCAAGTGCTTCGACCAGTCGAGGATACTTTGCGGCAGAGAGCAGCGAATGGACGACTACGAGGTAGAACTTTCGTCCCGACGCTAAATCCTATTATACTAGGGCTCACCCTACTCAACGGTTCCATACCAACACTCTTAAAAAGGGGGTTAAACGTCTCTGCGAGGCAGGAGTACTCAAGAAGGTGAATCGTTCGAAGTGGGCGCGCACCAACTTTTATCATCCCAAGAAAGACGGATCAGTACGATTCATATCTGATTTCCAGGAACCGAACAAAAGGATCAAGCGGAAGCCTTATCCTATCCCAAAAATACAGGAATTGCTCTTGAACCCAGCATGGATTCAAGTTGCGCTACTTAGTCTAGACCTTGAACACGGGACCACTACCAACATCGAGCTGTCTACACACTCGAAAGCAAACACTAAGCCAGTGCACTCCCGAAGGGAAATCACGATTACCAGAGGTTGGCAATGGGCTTATGTAATATTCCCGACACCTTCCAAAGAAGATGAAAACACGCCTGCATGACTTAGAAAATGTTCGTGCATACATCTTGATTTGATCAACTCATCCTAACGACGTCGATCTCGCAGATCGCGTGGAATAGTAGGATGACCTTTTCCAAAGACTTCAAAAAGTCGGGATTGAAATCAACACTACCAAGCCTTCCTCGATAGGAAGAACTTGAGAATCTAGACAATTGGGATCTTACTCGAGAAGGAATCCAAACCTTAACCAAAAAAAAGATAATAGATGCGATCCAAGATCGCTCTTTCCCACCACCTGGAAGGAACTTCGTAGATTCATTGACCCAATGAACTACCAAGGGGTGCTCCAAGCCATGCTAAAAATAAAAACCACAAGACGGAGTAACCATCGTTCTGAAACAGACGTGGGTTACCCAGTATCAATGACAGGTCGTCCCATGACAGAGAACGTGAGTCCGGCGTAGAGGTCGAGAAGACTCTCCGGATGAACCGTGGACCTCGTCGCAAGGTCACGCGCGTCAAACGTGAAAAGATTCACCACATCCGTTTCAAAGCAAACCGGAAATACATTTAAGAACGTCGCCAACGACTTTATTCCAGAAAAAAACACCGATAAGGAAAACACGGCCGTGTCCCCCATCAACACCATGTCAACGATACTATGATGATTCATCAGTATCAGGACCGTTCGTACGGTCAGCCCCACCGCCACAAAGAACCTTACCACACAGACCGAGTTAATAACAATGGCACTGTACGGCCACGACATACTTACCGCCCAGTACGGCACAATATACCAGACTTGGAACATAATTTATTTACACCCATACAAAGGCCTGATCCCCTTGTAGGATTTCCATCGTGCGACGACAATGTCTACATCCAATCTCCGGAGAGTGCCCGCACTTTAATTCATATGTTCTCCTTGTCCGACTGATGTTGTGCCTTCCGTTGACCTGTCAGGGGGCGAATGCCAATACACGGCTCTTAAGCTTATCGCCGACCGATCCTAGATAGGGTTGAGTTCGACTCATAACTGAGTCTTCGCGAATAGTCATTGCAGACAGGGTTCTCAATTTACCGCTCTAGTCATACTAAGGTTGATGATGGAACATCGCTCTATATATTTAGCCAGCGTGGAGTATCCACGCTACTAGATAAAATGCTAGACGAATCTTCCACGCGTTCCGTTTTTTGGATCGTGGAGTGAGTAGGATTGCTACCGTAACCTACTCTATCACACGCTACAGTATCCCGCGGGAGTTCAGATCTATGATCCTTTGATGATGTTCTCTCCCGTTGATTAGTTTTTCATAGCTTTCTAATCCTCGCATAACTTTCATTTCTTCTCAAACTCAAAACACTCGAAAGATTCTTACACTAGCTTTTAGCGTAGTGCACAAATCTATTTAGGAATAAGATCAGCCTAAACTTACTCGTTTTACTGATCGAAAAAATAGACTCATTGGTGATGTCGAGATTACAGGAGTGGAAGGGGAAGTAAGCAATGACGCACCCCCGCTACCAATAATCCAAACCGATGAGGACCTGGACGCTCGCGGATGCTGAAACCATTGACAAAATGGAAGATGAACCCGACAATCCCCAGGACAACGTCAACGACGGACAACGACGCCGAATCGATAATCAACGAACCAAATGATGAAATCGGCGTTGAACCGAAAATCGAAACGGAACCGGTTACAAAACCTATCGTCGAAACGGTAGAGGAAACCCGAATAAGGGGAAGAGAAAAAGGAACTCCTCTTGCCTTTTCAACCAAGTGCTTCGGCACAGTCGAGGATACTTTGGGAGAGTTTGCGAATGGACGACTACAAAGTAGAACTTCGTCCCGAGGCTAAATCCTATTATACTAGGGCTCACCCTACTCCCAGGGGTCCCTTACCAACACTCTTAAGAAGGGGGTTGAACGTCTCTGCGAGGCAGTAGTACTCAAGAAGGTGAATCGTTCCGAGTTGGGTGGCACCAACTTTATTCATTCCCAAGAAAGAGGGATCTGTACGATTCCTCTCTGATTTCCGGGAACCGAACAAAAGAATCAAGCGGAAGCCTTATCCTATCCCAAAAATACAGGACATTCTCTTGAACCTAGATGGATTCAAATACGCTACTATCCTAGACCTGAACACGGGACACTACCACATCGAGCTGTCCACCTCACTCGAAGCAACCATATACCATTGCACTCCCGAGGGGAAAGT